GGAAAAGCTCACCGGAAGTGCTGGGCGCCGCCATCTTGTTTTGATGAAAAAATACTTCCGGTGAGCTTTCTACCCGGAAAAGCTCACCGGAAGCACTTTTTCATCAAAACAAGATGGCGGCGCCCAGCAAACCAGCGGCCCGGTAGGATTTGTTCCACGGACCGGTACCGGTCCGCGGACCGGTGGTTGGGGACCCCTGCTCTATAGGATAGGACAATAACCCAGAGAGAATCTAGGCATCATTCTTCTGCTTGCCTCTGCTGCAGTCTGCTGCCAAGGATTAAGACCTCAGAGGCTGACGGATCATTAGCCTAATAATCAAGCTAAAACATAAGAGGCATAGCCTGCAACTGGCCGGATTTGGAATAGTGGCAATGAACCAGCTCTTCTTTGGGCCTGAAGTGCCATTGAACAGTGTTTGGGCATCTGTTACTTGTGGCTTAGGCTACCTCTCTGGAGTTTGTTTCAGAGTTCGCTCTGGTTTGTTTACTTCAGTTATAATTTCATTCTCTGACGGTCTTTTGACTTGCTATATTACACTATGAGATCCAGTTTAGTGTAGTGGTTATGGCACTGGGAGACCCTGAGTTCAAGTTCTTCCTTGGGTACTAAAACTGCTGACCTTGGGCCCATTCACTCTCTCAGCCCTAGGAAGTAGGCAAGGGCACACCACTTCCAAAGAAATCTTGCAAAGAAAGCTCCAGGCAATCACCAGGAATCAATACTGACTTGAAGTGACACATACACACACACTTATACTATTCATCTGTGTATAATATCTCTGTAAGCTATCTCTCCACTCTATATAATCATGGATTTAAAAAATCATGGAATTCACTGATTAGCATTTTAAAAAAATAGAAGAAAATTGTTACATTAAATCTTGAAATGACTGTAGAAAACTGTGCATGTGCATTTTGTTATTTTCAATTGGTCTTTATCAAAACTATAAAGAAGAGTTCTAAAATTTGATTTTCTAGCATTAAAGATCGCAAAACATTCTGAAAGATTTGAGGACAGAACTTTAAGTTTGATTCCTGTTCATACAAAAAGATGACATTTTGGGATAATTCTAACAATAAAAGGCAAAATGCTTTTTTGGTGTATTTGGGCAAATATGGTACCATGTGAATGTGGCCATACATATAATAAAGCACGATATAGAGAAAGCAACATTTACAAATATTCAGCTTGGAAAAAGCAAGACAAATAAAGAAATTGTCAAGAAGACCAGTATAGGGATTCATTTCCTCCATCTATGGATTATAGCACCTCCCAACACAAGAAGCAACTTGTCCTTTTGATCTTTTTTAAATTTATAGGATTTTGGTTTAGACTTTGGTTGGATTATTTCATGAATTATTTACTTGAATGATAACCAGGTATTTCTCTCAACCACTCTGAATCAGCTGTATCTTAACAATATATTTTAATCATCTTGGGTTCCTAAAATCCTTTGTTTTCCTTTCCTATGTTCTTAACTGCAAATATGAACATGTCCCTTTCAAAAACTAGCTGAGTTGGGTTGTGTTCTCTTCATACTTTCTATCAGCCTTTATGGCTTCTGCTTAGCTGCCACTCAGACTTCTGTGACAAGCCTCTGACCTTGTCTAACTTCTCATGCCTTTAGGTCCTGAAGCTGACATCTGATACCCTTTCCACACTCATCTAACATTGAATATCCTGTCCCACATTTATAATAGCTACACATGTGTGGAGGTATATATATGTCAACTTTATTTCAGTGTAGGCATTTTGGCCTTGACATATCACATCTTGCAGGGGTGACAATCCTCTGTTTGCAGTTACTGATTTCTATAATCTCTATGACTTTAAATAGTAAAAAAAACCCCATATTTAATATTATGATGATTAGCCTGACCAGAGTTAAGTAAATAAATTTAAATATACATTAATCAATTAAAATATTTATTCTACACTTTAAAAAGTGTAGTGTGTGTGTGGCTATTTCTCCAGATCTCCATAATTGGAGCTGAGCTGATGCTCATCAAGTTTTGATGTGAGCTATTATTACTTACTGTTGTTAATAGATCAAACTTCAATCCATTCATCTAACAGTTTCCAAAAATCAGTTATACTAATGGATCATCTCAATGTCCCTTTCCCTTCTATTACATCAAGTTATTTTGCTTGTCCACAATCTGTTGCTAACAGGATCGTTGTTTAACATAATTGTTTGCTATCAATGTCAACTACTGGTTTATTGGGGCTTCCAGTAGCGCCAAGGACCTTCAGAATCTGCAATAGCTGAATCCAGGTCTCATTTTTAGCAGAGAGAGTGGCTGAACAGGAAGATGGCATCATATTTCTCCTGTTCAGTTGGCGGGGGGGGGGGAGTCCCCTGCTTCCCCCATGAATAGAAGACAACCACTGCATCCCACCATCTATTTCCGTACAAAGCTTTGGAATGTATTACAACTTTAAATGAAATGGCCCCGGTGTTACCATGCTACAAAATTGAGATACAAGGAAGGACTTGCTATCCTCTGTTCATACATTCCATTTCTTTTTTTTTTTTTTTAAATAAATTTTATTAAATTTACAATTAAAAACATATCGACATTACATACACAAAAGGGAAAAAAACAAAAAAAGAACACTCGGTCTTACAAACTGGAAAGAAAAGAGAAGAGGAGATGTAAAAGAAAGAAAGAAACAAAGGAAGAGAAAGAGAAAAAAGAAAAAAAAAGATGCGTTTAAAAACAGACAATATCCTTTTTGACAGTCTGCAAGCTTTGCGCAGTGGCAGTATCGTAGCCAATGAGGTTTATCCGAGGCGCGATTATTGCTAATTGAAAACTTTTCATACATTCCATTTCTAATGTGATCAGTCGTTTTCATGCAGTGTTCCCTTTTCCTTGACGCAACCACACTGCTATTTTATTCAAATATTAATTTGTGAAGGGCAGAATGGGTGGAAGAGGAACAGCAAAATTGTGGCATCATCAAAGTGAATAGGGTTACAGATTTTTTGCCTCCCCTCTCCAAGCTTTAACTGTGGGGCAAAGAAACATTGGTTTTTTGGGGGGAGGGAGGACAGGGAGAGGCAGAGGTCAGATTAAAGCTAATACACTGTTGGGTAGCTGCAGCCTAGTGAAGGCTATCATATTTTGGCTGCAAAAATCCAATAGAAGACATTCTAAACCTTTTCTGCCATATAGTAGATGTTCAGGTGTTGTTATTGTTATTTTAGTTAATTAGTTAGTTTACTTTATTGTCATTGCACCTCATACAACGAAATCAAACACCATCTTCAGTGCACATCATGACCATGAAAATAAACACAAACATACATCCTTCACACTCCACACATTGAACTGAAAACCCTGACACCACACCAACACTGCACTGTACAGTAGAATTCAACAGAGCTACTGCCCTGGGATAGAAGCTGTTTTTCAGACTATTTGTCCTTGTTTTTATTATCCTGTACCGTCTGCCAGATGGTAACAGTTCAAAAAAAGGGTTCC